AGATTATTGAGTGCATTTTAGGAGATTTTTCTGCTCAAATGTTTGGACAAATGTAGGGAAGCTTAAGTCTCAAAAGACTAGCATATATTAGGTTCATGTCTGCATACTCATGGTTGAAGTTGGGGTTCATGTGAGTCAACACTTTCACCAACACTGAGATAACACCACAAATCGGGTAATCACACAAACATATATCACTGTGACCACAAAGGTCACCATCCGTCTTCCCGAAGGTGGAAATCACATATGCTCTGATACCACTTGTGAGGAGACTAGACTATGCTGGAAAGAGTTATCTTAAACTCAAAAGACTAGCCTATTTAGTTTAGGTATCAGGTGAGACAATCACACCTCACGCTGAACCCAAACAAAGAAATAAAAGATCAGTTTGCAGGTGTTGAATTTATGTTTTGTTTGTGGACTAGATTAGAGGCTCTGTGTGGTAGCATGTTTGTTTTTTTTTGACAGAGGAAATGGTTAGAAGTTAGTTTAGTATCTGCTCTTGGCAAGGTTCGAATACTGATCAGGGGTGCAATTCACAGGTGGCTTTGTTGGGCTGCAGTGGCCACCAATGGGTTACAACTGGGGAATGCTGTGTGGTAGCATGTTTGAGTACCTTCAATACTCAGTTTCCATTTTCCAGGTCAAAAGGGGAAAAAAAAAATGAAAAAAAAAAAGGAAAGACAGTTCGTAGGTTCATTAATTAGTCAAAGTTAGTTCTAAAAATCTGTCCTCATCTTGAATAGAGGAAAAAGAAAAGCAACAGGAAGCCAAATAGGACTCCTTAATATTCTCTTGAATCTGACATATCAAGATGTAAACTGATTCTTCAATCCATAATAGAAGGATGAGAGTAGAGGGGAATTAATATCCATAGTCCATAAGTAAAATCAAGAAATGAAAAAATTTATCCAGAAGCAGAAGTAGTGAGAAAAGAAGCTATAGATATTAATAGAAAACGGAAAACTATAAGGGTATATACATCATGCGAAGCAAAACAATAATCCTGAGAGAGAGAAGAATGTAAAAAGGAGGGAAGGAAACAGAACCTGGCACCCCATCTTGCAAGAAAATGACCAGCGTACAAATACTTGACAAGAGAATAAGTAGAAGATTCATGTTGAGGCTTATTTTGTTGATCAAGGAGTGCTGTTGTATCCATTTGGAAATATAGTCTTCTCCTTCTGTCCCCAAGTCTTCACTGTCTTCCGACTCTTCCCTGACTTTGAGGTTTTCAGGATATTTGTTTGCAATAAATGGAGCTGCGCATTAGAAGATGCCATATGGTGTTATCCTTTGCTTCACTTATAGTAAATTTAGTTTTTTTTTAAAAAAAATAAAATAGAGATTTAATAATTTATTTATAAAATGTTATATATATTTTTAATTAAATATTATTATATTTAAATAGAATTTATTACTTAATATATATG